CACCGGCTGGCCTCTTTCCTGTTGCTTGGACGAGCCAGCGTGCTCGCATCCCTTGGTCTTTGTTCTTGTTGTTCCCTCCTTCTGGAATGCTCTTCCCCCAGATATTGGCATGACTGCTATCCTACCCTTAGTCAGATCTCAGCTCAAATATTCCCTCGCCCGTGAGTCCCCTCCTTTTTTGACTATCTGATGTAGAGTAGCAACCACCTCTACAACTCCCTATCACATGAAGCTACTTTACTTTTCATAGCACTCATTATCTGAACTGATCTTATTAATTTCTTTAGTTGTGCGTTGTCTGCCTTCCCAACCAGAACGAAAGCTGTATGGTCGGGGGAACTCTGTCCCCAGTGCTAGCTAGCACTGAGCTTACCACATGGTTGCCAGGGCTGCCATGGAAGGTTGTAAGGGTTGTTCACTGCATCAGAGCTCCTGGCTGAGGGGCAGGTGCTGACATACAGCCTGTTCTCTGCTCTCCATGCACTGGGGGCATCCAGCAGGTTGCCTTCTGCTGTTTTGCAATGCGTGCTGTATGGGCTGGTAGTGGCTCTGTGGTGGGTGTTCAAAAAGTATTCATTGAATAAATGACTGATGGATGTGCAGACCTTTACTTGTTTTTTTCTGTGGAACTTCATGCACATTAGCTTCTCAGGGCCTTATTTTCATCATCTGTTAAAGGGATAATTAACATCTATTTCATAATATAGTTATAGGTTTAAATGAAATCGTTCATTAAAAATATAGCACAAATATGATTAGGTTTGTATGAAATACCCAGAATAGGAAATCCACAGAAACAGAAAGCAGATTAGTGGTCGCTGGGGGCTGGAAGGGGGAGGAACTGGGGAGTGACTACTTAACGGGTTGGGGTACCCAGGCAGTGTGATGCTAGTGTTTTAGACTAGATAGAGGGATGTTTGCACAACGTTCCGAATGTACTAAATGTCCCTGAACTGTGCCCTGAAAATGGCTAAAATGGTGAATTGTGTGAATCAGGTTATGTTATATGAATACCTCAATTAAAAAAAGAATCAGCACAGCTCCTGGAACTGTTAGGTGTTCAATGAATAGCTTTTGAATCCTATGATCATGTCCTTGATTCAAAATCAAAGCAAGACCCCAAGGCTTCCTTGGTTCCTCACTGCCCCATCTAGGATACTATTTACTTTCCTCTCATTCATTTATTTCAGAAGCATTTATTACTGCCATTTTAGATATTGGGGATACGGAGAGGAACAAGACAGACACAGACCCTTGCCCCAGAGTTTACTGGCTCATAGGGGACTGTGCCAAATGAAGAGAAAATCACAATACCGTGCGGTCAGGGCTAGCTGGGAGAAGGGCCAGGGTCTTCGGGGCACAGAGGAGGGGAGGAGGGACCCAGACAAGGGCATGTCAGGGAGGGCTGGTCTAGGTAAAGAGGCACTGGAGTTGGGGCCTGAGTGATGAATTGGCCTGGGAGGAATGATCAGCCGGGTGGGAGATGGACAGGTGGGGGACGGGGCTGGAGGGAAGGGTTGGGATCCCAGGAAGAGCACATGCAAAGCCTAGGAGGGGCGAGCATGCTGGGTCCTAGGAATAGAGAACAGTTTGGTGTGGCTGGCGCAGTGTGCGGGGTAGGTGACAGACAAGGCAGGAGAGTTCGGAAGGGGCCATTGGCAGTAGGAGTTCAACTCCATGCTAAGATAGTCAAGGTCCTGCAGGTTCTAAGGGGGGGGCGGGGGGGCGTACTGACAAGCCCTGGGGGCAGCCCTTGCTCAGGCTGTACCCTGCGGCTCCCTGTGAATTCTTGTGCCTGTATGGCTTAGTTCATAACACTTCCTCCTTTCAATATTTACTGAGAACCTGCCCTGTGTCAGGGGCTTGCTGTCAGAACCTGGCCCCACTGTAAAACTCCAGCGGGAAGGCGGGAGGTCAGCCCGGAGGGTGCTCTGGGCTAGAAGGTGGAGCTTGCAGGGGGAAGGCGGGGCTAGTCCGGGAGGACCAAATGCTCTTGGAAGGTGACTCCTGAGCTGGGTCTTAAAGAGCAAGGAGGCACTAGGCCTGGGGAAGAGGAGTAAGGCAATAGGGAAAGGTTCAGAGCTTAGCTCTGTGGGCTCCCAGGATCCTTGAGATCCAGATGAAGGCTAGAAGCCTCTATCCTGGTAGACACCTAGGCACACAATAAACCCCCAAGGGCACAGATACACTCCCCATTGACCTCCACATCCCCCCTCCCCCCCAGCGAGGGCTCACAAACATTTTTTTGCAGGCAATTTTGAGTGTCCTTGGTCCCTGTGGCTTTGCCCGGGAAGAACTCTCTCTTCCTCCCCTCCAGTTCCGGCCCACTGCCTTCCAGGGCCTGCAAAACTCCCGCTTCAACTCTGGACTTTGTACCTGTCATGGGAAATTCACTAGCTTATCAGGGCCCTCAGCCAGAGCAGTTGCCTGCTGAGATGTCTGCCTGCCCCTTCTAGGGCTTCCTGGACCCCTCTCTGGATCCCAGCCGCAAGCCCGCCCGACTTCCCACACGGCGCTGGGGTGGGGGTGGGGGGGCCCTGCGCCAGAAGGTTCACCGCAAAAGCTAGGCAAGAAGTGTACTTAGTCCTCCTGACTGGAGGCGTTGCCTGCTTGCCGGGCCCTCCGCCCTCCCCTGCGGATTAGGCCCCGCCTGCCTGCGGCGTCCCCAGGTGAGTCAAGCGGCAGCTCCGGCCCACCCACCTGTCCAGGTTCTGCCCGCCCCAGCCGGAAGCTTCCTCCTTGGACTGTGCACAGTTCCTGCAGGTGGGGAGCAGAGGGGAAGACATTGGGGGGCCTGGGAGGGGGATCCCACAGATCCTTAAGCTCCTGGGAGCTTTAAAAGGAGCCCCAAATCAGGGTGGGGTGCGTATGTCTGTGAGATCAGAGGGTGTGTGTTTGTCGGTGGAAGAGATGTGACCTGTGGGGGTAGGGTGACAGCGTGTGGGGGTGTGTGTCCTTGAGAAGAATTCACAGGGACAGGGCAGGCAGGAAAGGAGTAGGAGTAAAACCTTAGAGACATCAATTTGAATACAATTCATTTCCATTTAAAATCTGATTTTCTGAGGATCCAGTGCCTATTGGGGCCCGGAGTAGGCACCCAGTGAGTGAATGAGTGATTGAGCTCTCCTTTCTGATGCCCCCCCTTCACTCTCCAGCTCCCCCATCCTCCTCTCTTACCCGCCCAGAGCACCAAGCTCTCTGCCAGCACCAGGGCACACATTAACGAGCCCAGGCATTGGCCCCAGGCAGCTGCCCATCTAGTAACTGTCCACTTCTGCTGGATAGTTGACTGTGTAGGCCAGGGAAGGGGTGCTCCAAAGGGGTCCTGGGACAACCTCACAGCCAGATATGGTGTGATTTCACCTGGAGGGATAGGGAACTCAAAATCCTGAGGAGGGGGTGGCTGGGAAACAAGAGGGAAGGTGAGCTGGGGGAGAGGTGTGTGTGTGTGTGTGTGTGTGTGTGTGTGTGTGTGTGTGTGTAGCACGGGGGAGGGACTGTGGACAGGAGGCCTAGTTTGGCCCAAGGCCCATGTGCTGGGCTGTGGGGACTGGAAGAACATGCTGAGGAATCTCCGTGCAGCCCTGAGGGCCTGGGGAGCTCTGGAAGAATTTTTAGGAGTAATGGGGTCAGATTTGGGCTTTAGGCCCATCACTCTGGGGAATGGACTGGAGGTGGGGAAAGACGGATTAGGAGATCATGTAGGAGTCGAGGAATAAGATGAAGGTGGCTTGGATGGGGCAGTGGCCAGTGGGGTGCAGGGGAGGGGCAGAGCCATTGCAGAGATATTTAGTTCCGGGAAGAACTGATGGGGCTTGGTGACAGGTTGGAGGAGAGGAGGGAGGGTTTCATGAAGATGTCAGTATTAAAGAGTATGCGAGATACTCCCCTAGATAGATGCATCTCTCCTAAGTGCTTTCCTAGCCTGGATACTGCTCCGCAGGTACTCTGATTCAGGTGCTCCACCTGCAGATAATCCCCAGTCCTAGCCATCCCTCTGACAGGTACTTCCCTAACCTAGGCGCTCTTCCCCTCGATACTCTTCAGATTCAGGTGTTGCTCCCGCAGACATTCCTCTGACTCAGGCGTTCCTCCTCCTGGTGTTCCCAAGCCTAGATGATCTTCCTCCCCATAGTGCCTTAATTCAGGTGCTCCTCTTCTTGCTCCTCCCTAGCCCTAGGGGTTCTTATCCAGCTAATTTCCTGATCCGGGTGACCTGAGTTTGGCTACTCCCTGAATACTGCCTCCCTCTGGGGGCAGACGGAGGTCGATGGACAAGCAATGTGTCTGAAGAGCTGAGGGTCGAGGTGGGGTAGCAGGAGCTCCTGACCGAGGAGGAGTGGGGCCCCCTGCCTGGGTAGGGACTGGCACTCTCCTCCACATGTGGTCTCTACTTTGGTTCTAATGAATCGCTCTGAGCGATTGCTGTTGTCCACCCCCTGGGAGCCAGAACCGCCTCTGCCCCCCTTCCCCATCCTCAGCCTACCAAGCCATGTAGCAGACTGGGCTCTGGGCCCTGGTTTCAGAGACCTGGGTTCAAGTCCTGGGACTTCGGCTGAGTTAGTTCACCCTCTGGGCCTCAGAGTCCTCAACTGCAGAGAGGGGATAATGTTGATACCCACATTAGAGGGGTCTGTGAGCCCATTGCCTGGTGCCTAAATCAGACGCAGTATTGAGTAAGTTCCCGCATTTTTTTCAGGGGCTTGCAGAGCCGGACCCCACAGTGTTCCCTTACAAATAGCCAATTTCCAGGTACACAGCTCATTTCTCTTTTGTGCACAACCGGTTATGGTCAATTGTCCCGCGTCCAGAGTTTGTGCAGTGCCCTAACATGGCCGTGCGTCTGCCCGGGGAATGTGCACCTGTGCTCCCCGGACACCCACTTGTGTGTGTATGTTCTAGGACTCTGGCCTCCAGGGCTGCCTGGCATCTGGGGGTTTCTGTGGAGCTCAAGATCTTCTGGCTGAAGCCCAGGCTCACTGGCGTCTTCAGGCCCCTCCATGAGTGGGGAAAACCAAAGTGAGTTTGGGAAGGAGGCCAAGGGGGGGGGGTTGGGGGAAGGACCCTGTCCCCACACCTTTCGGTTTCCCCAGGGAACCCATCTGGGGCCCCCATCCATAATTCTGTCCCTTCCTCTGCAGCCACTGTGGGGCCCTCAGAGCTCCCAGCATCATCAGCCGTGTCCCCTGGACCGGGCACTGGGGCCCGGGCATGGCCTGTGCTGGTAGGGGTCGTGCTGGGGGCTGTGGTCCTCTCTCTCCTCATTGCTCTTGCTGCCAAATGCCACCTCTGCCGCAAATACCGGGCCAGCTACCAGCACCGCCCGCTGCCCAGGACGGGGAAGGGGGTCTGCCCGGACGTGGGTGAAGAGGAGGACGACGGTTTCATCGAGGACAATTACATTCAGCCCGGCGCTGGCGGGCTGGGGACTGAGGGCAGCAGGGACAACTTTTCCCTCTGAGCCCCAATCTTTAGACCCCCTCCACCCCCCGCCCCTACCTGACAACTTAAGGATAGTGGATACTACACAGGGGCCACAAGCCTCAGGGAGAGAGGTATCTAGGGCTCCAGGGCTAACCAGGGGTGGAGCAACTCTCCCTTCCCTGACACTAGCTACTAAAGTGACAAACCCTCTCTTGCTCAGTAACCCTCAATGGCTCCCTGCTGTTCTCAGGACAACTACCAAGGGCCTGGCTAGGGAAATAAGGCCTCTTTCAGCCTTTTGGTCCACTTTCCCAACCTCACTGCCTACTAAACGAATTATTTGTTATTCCTCTTCTCCCACGTGGTGTTTCTCCATGCCCTTTTTGCTCACTCTCTCAACCCGGCCTACACTGCCCTTCTGTTCTCTCAAATCCTCTATGACAGAGGGCATCCAGTGGCGGGGGGGGGAGGGGGCTCACTTGGTTGAGCGGCTGGCTCTTGATTTCTGCTCAGGTCATGATCTCAGGGTCCTGGGATTGAGCCCTGCATCGGGCTCCCCGCTGAGGTTTCTCTTTGTCTGTCTGCCCCTCCCCCTGCTCATGCGCACGCGCCCTCTCTCTCTCAAATAAATACATAAATCTTAAAAAAAAATCCTCTATGACAGGGATGAAAATCCCTGGCCAATAGAGTCCCTCTGGCCTGCCTACTTGCCAGCATTTCTGGTGTGCCAGGATGATAACAGTTTAGTTAGTGAAAACCAGTGTGCCAAGTTTCTTACTGAAATTTTTTCAATAAAGTGAGTAATCTAAATAGTTATATGACATTTTTCACAGGTAGTAATAAACCATTTTCATTTTAAATGAAAGTAAAAAGGAGTCACTGATTTTTATTTTCCTGAATTGGGACTTGTGCATTCAAATGTTCCTTGTCGGGGCGCCTGGGTAGCTCAGTCGGTTAAGCGTTTGCCTTTGGCTCAGGTCATGATCTCAGAGTCCTGGGATCGAGGCCCGCATCGGGCTCCCTGCTCAGTCAGCGGCGAGTCTGCTTCTCCTTCTCCCTCTGTTATCTCTCTCGCTTTCTCTCTCTCATATAAATAGATAAAATCTTTAAAAAAAAAAGTTCCTTGTCATTCCTAGCTGGAAGACACGGCTCGCGCATCCCCTCCTCCAGGACGCCTCTCGTGACCCCTCCCTCTCACTGCACCCCGTGAGTTCCTCTGCCCTTCTCTGGCCATGGCGGTGGATTTTAATCTGTATTAGAGTTTGCACAGCCCCCTTACTGCGCCTGTCCCCAGGGCTAGACTGTGAACTCTCTGAAACCATGGGCCGTGCCTCATTCTGTGTCCTCATTCTTGCGCACAGCAGATGCTAAATAAATATTTGTCACGTTTGTTTCATTATTGCAGGCTGAGTAGTGAGGAGTTGAAAGGGGAGGGAGTGAGTCGAATGTGAGAGACTTTATCAAGAGTTTGATGAAGAGGTGGAAGGCAGGCTCATCCTTGCTGGTGGGGAGATTGGGGCAAGGGAGGCAGTTTTGGGGTGCATGTGTGATTCAAAAATTCCATACGTGGGCGCCTGGGTGGCTTGGATGGTTAAGCGTCTGCCTTCGGCTCAGGTCATGATCCCAGGGACCTGGGATCGAGTCCCGCATCGGGCTCCCTGCTCCTTGGGAGCCTGCTTCTCCCTCTGCTTCTCTCTCTCTCTCTCCCTCTGTCTCTCATGAATAAATAAATAAAATCTTTAAAAAAAATTCCATATGTTACTTGGTGCTCATCATGATAAGTGTCTTCTTCATCTCCTTCACCTATTTCACCCATCCCCCTGCCCCCCTCCCCTCTGGTCACCATCAGTTTGTTCTCTGTAGTTAAGAGTTGTTTTTTGGTTTCTCTTTTTTCTCCCTTTGTTCATTTGTTTTTTAAATTCCGTGCTATTTGTCCTTATCTGACTGACTTATTTTGCTTAGCATTATGCTCTCTGGATCTATCCTTGTCATTGCAAATGGAAGATTTCTTTCTTTTTTAGAGCTGAATAATATTCTATTATGTGTGCGTGTGTGTGCGTGTGTGTGTGTGTGTGTGTGCGTGTGTGTGTGTATCACTTCTTTATCCATTCATCTACTGATGGACACTCGGGCTGCTTCTATAATTTGTCTATTGTAAATAATGCTGCAATAAACATAGGGGTGCATGTACCCTTTTGAATTCATTGGGTAAATAAACACCCAGTAGTGTGAATACTGGGTCGTAGGCTAGTTCTTTTTAAATTTTTTTTCAGGAACCTCCATACTGTTTTCCAGAGCGGCGACACCAATTTGTGTTCCCACCAACAGTGCAAAAGGGTTTCCCTTTCTCCGCATCCACCATATCCTCTTGTGTCATTGATTTTAGCCATTCTGCCAGGTGTGAGGTGATAGCTCATTGTGGCTTTGATTTGCATTTTCCTGATATTGAGTGATGTTGAGCCTCTTTTCATGTGTCTATTGGCCATCTGTATGTCTTCGTTGGAGAAATGTCTGTTTGTGTCTTCTGTAAAACTAAAAGACAACCTGCTGAGTGGGAGAAGAGATTTGTAAATGACATCCGATAAAGGGTTCGTATCCAAAAGGGATAAAGAACTTATACAACTCAACACCAAAAAACCAAATAATCCAAGCAAGGGAGGCAGTTTTAAGAAGGGAGAAAGTTAAGCTTCTTTTGTTTGAAAGCAATGGGAAGAGAATTAAAGGGACAGCTGACTCAGGAGGGCAGGAAGCAGGTGGCTCCAGCAGCCTGAGGACAGGAACATACTCTTGTGTCACTTGTGGGCATTAATGAGACTCCGTGCCTGGGACCCCCGAGTTCTTGATTCCAAGTTTCAAGTACTCAGGTGACAGAATGTCATCAGCCCAGTTTGGGTCAAGTATCCACCAATAGTCCAACCAGCTATGAATGGTGGCAGGCTCCTGGAGTGCAAATGTGATTTTGGGAGCCTGCCTATTTGATCCAGGTCATTCCCAGACAAGGGGAAGTCATCATGAATCAGGGGGCCACCCTGCATATGCCCCGTGGATGCAGTGCTAGCCTTTGAGGAAAGAGCCAGCACAGAGGTGAGGGCAGGACTGATACAGGGAGGTGCTCGAGGAAAAGGCAGGTCAAGGAGGGACGTAGTGTAGGGTCGAGGGGTGCCCTAGGCAGAGGTGAAGCTGAAGGGTGGACCAGATCACCTAGGGCTTTGGTGCCAAGATAGCTTGCATTTCAATATGAGAGCAGCTGAGGCTCATCTGTGGACTTTTTTTGGTCAAGGAATGATGGAATCATGATAGAAAAGTCATTCTGGATGCTGTGCCAGTGGGCGGGAAGGGAGAGACCCAGAGGGAGGTGACAAGATCTGCCTAAGGTACGGCAGGGAAGAAAGAGATTCCAGAGACACAGGGAAGGAAGGGTTGGCAGGCTTGCTGCTGCCGGATGTGGGGAGTAGGAAGGAGGCAACAAAGTCGCCCTGGTTTCTGGTTGGGTGGCTGGGCAACCTGGGGAGGGGCCGGCTTTGAGGGAACAAGGATTCAATGCTTGATGCGTGATTTCCAGGGGGAGGTGCCCGGGGACAGCCGGATTCACCTGGGAGAAGTCCGGCCTGCAGGTGTGGGTTTGGGACTAGTCTGCAGTGGGGTCCCTGAGACCCAGGAGTGAATAAGATCAGGGGGCCTGGGTGGAGTGGAGGAGGTACAGAGGACTAACTCGGGGAACACTGACATCTAAGGGCTTGTCAGCAGAGGAGGACCTGACAGGGGAGTCCAGTGCACATGTCCCCAACCCTGGCCGTTGTTCCCGAGTCCAGAGACAGTCTGACCCTTGCAGGCCTGGAAAGTCCCTGTGTCTGGGACAGCAGCATAGGCTGCCCCAGCCCAAGACCTCGAGAAGGACCTTGAGTAGCAGAACTAAGGGGCTGAGGGCACGTCCTGAGCAAGGTAAGAGCCGCTGGGAACGCAGTGGGGCCTGTTCCCTGCCCTTATGCGCCCTCAGTGCCTACCTAGAGGGGCTGTCCTGCCTGAGTTCTGGGCCAGAGAGCAGCTCAGCTGTCCCCATGGTCACATATTCTTCAGGACCTGAGTCAGAACCCCTGAGGGATCCAGGGAAGGTAAGGGCTTGTTTTTCCTGAGCCCAGCACCCAGCAAGGGGCAGCAGGGAGAGCTTCCTCCCAGAACCTGCTGTGGGTGTTACGCCTGGCTGAGCAGGCCTCTAAGGTGGTAGGAACCTTGGACCCTGTCCTGAGAGGCTTTCCTGGATTCCTCTGAGGAGGGGTTTCCACTGTGCTCTGCACGCTTGGCCCCATGCACAAAGAGGGAGTGTGATTTGGGTCCACAGGTTCAAAGGCCCAGCGATGTTAGAATTGTGGGAGGCCTGGGACTCAGTCAGACCTCTCTTTGTCCTCCCTCCTCTGGCCTCAGGCCCTGGCCCCAGCCTGCCTCTGCCCCCAGCCCTCTGTACCCTAGACTGTAGAATATAGCAAGTGTTAGCCATACCCCTATGGGTACCCTCAGGGCTAGCTCCCCACAGCAGCGGGGGCAGTCTTCATCCTGACGGGGGAAGCTTGCCAAGCTTCCTTCCTCCTCATTCACTCTGGGCTGGAGATTTGAATGTGTCTGTTTCCCAGGACTCAGGTCAGAAGATCCGGGGCACCTGGGTGGCTCAGTTGTTTGGGCCTCCAACTCTTGATTTTGGCTCAGGTCATGCTCTCAGGGTTGTGAGATCGAGCCCCACCTCAGGCTCTGTGCTCAGTGTGGAGTTTCCTTAACATTCTTTCCCCTCCCACCCTCTCTCCCCCTCTGCTCCTCCCCCTACCCCCACCCCCCCGCCGTGCACACACTTACATATAAGTAAATAAATAAATAAAATCTTTTTTAAAAAAATATTTTATTTGAGAGAGAGAGAGAGCGCACATAAGCAAGGGCAGTGGCAGAGGGAGAGGGAGAAACAGACTCACTGCTGAGCAGGGAGCTGGAGGTGGGGCTTGATCGCAAGACCCTGGGATCACGACCTGAGCCAAAGGCAGATGCTTAACC